AGCCATATTGGATATTATTACCACTTCTGCTTCTGCTTGTGACTGAACAGGGATGCATTTCTATGTATTTTTAAATGTTTCCTGTAAAGGGTTAAAGCAGCTTCAAAGATAAGTTAATCAGTTCCTTGGACCACAGAAGTGAACAGAAGTGTGACCACCAAACTCAAAACTTGAGTGTTATCTTCCTTTACTAACTTTTTTGGGCCGTCTCCATTGTAACTGAACAAATTCAATCAAATCAACAGTACATGTCATACAACTGAGATGCCAGCTGAATATAATTATTATCTACAGTGCCTAAAGACAGTATGACAGCATGCAGTGGTCTTTTATCAGTGTCTGAGACAGGCTTCTATGTTTTGAAAAATGCAACATTACACCAATTTGCTTGAGGGACCAGCACAAACAAACTGCACACTATTAGAGGGGAAACATTCCTCAGATGGTTGGTGGATCTGGCAACCTGTCTGCTTGGCACGTCTTGTGTTCTGTGTGTGAGAGTGCACAGAGTTGGCAGCACTACACACGCTCCTCTGTCACGGTCTCTTTCAACATCTGTCCTCTTGGAGAATGACCCACCAGGCTTCCACACAGAGGAATTCAATACACTCTCCCGAGAGGAGAAGTGCCACTTTTATGTCCAACAACTGAAACGGCTGTGCTGATTTATCATGTGTGTTATGCTGCATTTGAAACACCTGCCATATTTCCTCCCAAGCATCACAGGGGAGGTTATTAATTGTGTCCCATTGGAGAACCTCATTTTTTCAGGTACTGATTTTAATTTAACATTGGTCAGATTAATGAAAAGTAGACCGCTGAAACAGATGAGACAGATGCAAAATAAAATGAAATGGCTGAATAAACTTTTATGGATCATCCATACGCAACACAAGGAATGTGTGAATAAGTAATTCGGGCACCGTCCTTTTTGATCATTGGATTCCAAACCTTGCTTTAACACTCATGGGATATTTTGAGACAGTACTCTTCGCCAAATTAGGAATTCTGAATTTTATTTGGAAAATGTATCCTAAAAAAAATCAAAGGAAACTCCAAAGAGCTCTGTTTCTAATAATTCAATTCAGTCTTCTTTATTATACATTACATAAACAACAATCAACAACAACAATCGCCTCACGGCAGACCCTACAATAATACAGAGAAAGCCCCAACAATCGGATGACCCCCCTACGAGAAAATGCTTGGAGACAGTGAGAAGGAAAACTCCCATTTAACAGGAAGAAACCTGTTAATTGGGACTGGTTGGTTCTAGAAGCACAGATGGCTTTGCTTTTGCTGGCTGTCCCTGAGCCTGGTTCTGGTGAAGCTTTCTTCCTGTTAAAAGGGAGTTTTTCCTTTCCACTGCTGCCAAAGCGCTTGATTATAGGGGGTCATATGCTGGCATCTGCCGTGACCTACTGGAGGTGAATGGAAGAAGACAGGACAAAGACATGCTGTGGAAGAGAGCCAAAGATTAATTATAACAAATAGTTAAATAGTGAGCAAAAAGGATCACTGAAGAAGTAACACTCAGTGTATCATGGGAATCCCCCAGCAGCCTTGAACTATTGCAGCATAAGTAGAGACATTGTCTGTCTCTCGAATCCAAATTGGAAGCTGGTTCCACAAAAGAGGGGCCTGAAAGCCGAAGGCTCTGCCTCTCATTCTACTTTTAAATACTCTAGGAACAACAAGTAGGCCTGCAGTCTGAGAACCTAGAGCTCTAATGAGTGATAGTGATACAATACTATAATCAAGATAAGATGGGGCCTGATATTCCTTGTATGTGAGGAGTAGGATTTTATATTAGATTCTGGATTTGGCAGGAACCCAATGAAGAGAAACCAATATAGGAGAAATATGCTCTGTCTTTCTAGTCCCTGTCAGCACTCTTTCAGGGAGTTTTTGGTCATGTTGATAATAACAAATTACAGTAGTCCAGCATAGAAGTAATAAATGCATGAACTAGTTTTTCAGCATCACTCTGAGAAGGATGTTTCTCATTTTGGAGATATTGCACAAATGGAAGAAAGCAGTCCTACATATTTGTTTAATATGCGCACTGAAGCACATATCCTGGTCAAAAACGACTCCAGGATTCTTGGAGAGGCCATGTTGCTAGCGAGTCAGCTATGAGCTAAGCGAAGCTTAGCGATTCCCTAAAGACATAAATACTGTGAAAATAATTAGCGGCTGAATCAACAGACTGTACCTTTGATAAAGCATGTGAAGATTACACTATGAAATAAGAAGTTATATATAAGTTTGAAATTAAATTGGCTAAGCAGATAAGCAACACAAAAAGACTGCTTTGTGTTGGAACAGTAAGTGATACTCTGCCCCTCTGCTGAGAAATTGGAGAAATACCAAATAGACTGTAAAAGGACAAGTATGAAATTTAAAATGGAACACAGCAAATGGCCAATAAAGTTAAAAAAAATAAATTTAATGAAATATTTGGAGCAGGGATATTGTTCCTCTAAATGATGGGGGGGTTACATGAGTTGTTTTTCTTCTGCAGCTGATCACACTGGTTGCATCTTTATTCAAGACAAAGTCCCAAAAGATTTTTAGGGAACTTGAGAAAGTTTGTCTTTTAAAGAGACAGTTCACCCCTGTATACACATACGTACAGGCCAATGGAAAACTATGTATACTGGACGCTGAGGTGAGCTGTCCCTTTAAAGTGTATTCAGCAGCGGACTTTCCCTGCTTCTTTGCTGGATCTCCGCCCACACTAAACGCTCAAATCTGCCACTGGATGCAAACCGGACCTAAAACAGTCCCGCCCACTGGTGGATAACTTCTGTGTTAAACACAGCTGCAAGCCACTCAGTGGGAGGTCATCCACTGAAGGAGACACGTTGGACGGCCGTGATTTGTGTACTACAGTGGAAATGCTGTAATCCGGAGACAAGCGCTCTCAGAAACTTTCTCACTCTAAAAGCGTCCACGCAGCCACGATGTGGAAACCTGTGTGGGTATCAAAAGGCCTCCTTGGCTCCGCGGGACCTCGCGCTGCTGCCGCCGCGGTCACCTGTCTGCTGGTGACCGGGATGCTGGTAGTGACTGGCGGACACCCAAGCTGCAGAGTCCCGGAGAAGCTTCCAGCCGCGGGTACGAGCGGAAAAGTTTTCTCAGCGTATTTCAGCAAACTGACCCGGGAGAGAAGAGCGGTGAGCGGCCCCCCGCGGAGCAGCGATCCAACCGGTCCGGTGGAGCGTCTCTCCCCGGCTGATCTGTTCATAGCGGTGAAAACCACCGGCAGGTATCACCGGCAGAGACTGGAGCTTCTTTTGGACACCTGGATCTCCAGGAACATGCCACAGGTAAGTTTGATGGCCCACCTGTTACTCAGAAACGGGCCAGCTTCTCTTTACATCATGACGCACAGGATTTGGTTTTTAAGCACTTCGGTTTCAGCCCTTCGGTAGTCTTTATACTTGTGTTTCTAGCACCCTTTAGTTTCAGGTCAACTCACTAAAGGCACAATTGGGGAAGGCGTGTCCTAAAGGTTTCATACACCGAAGGCTGCGATTGCCATTTACATCCCCAAGTCTTTATGTGAGTCCGGGACAGGCTGGACTGGGACAAAATAACATGGCCCTGGAAATTTGGGTCTAGGCGGCCCACACAGCACGTGACAATTAAAAGCCAAGCTTTAGTTATTAGTAGTTGCTCGTCAAAGTAGCATTCGGCCCACCGGGAAAATGCCCCTGTAACCCAGATTATCAGTCCTGCCCTGAACCGCACTCACGGCTCTTTGATGCTCCAGGCAGGGAGCTGTAAAACGGAGATGGGTCCTTTTGTAATGTATGAGATGGAGATCAGAGGGCAAACAGGCTGATCACACTGCTGCTAATGTGTTGACACGATACAGGTACAGGCAGGCCTAAGGACATGAACCAAGAGAGGAAGTCAACTTGACGATTCAGATAATTTCTTTTCTTTGTCTCTGTGATAACATTAACATGAAAGAGCTGGGCATGGTATCAGTCTTATCGATTTTATTTATATGGCACCAAATCACAACAACAGCTGCCTCGCCTTACTTTGTAAGGTAAAAATCTTACAGTAATAGAGAGAAAACAGAACAAACACCAACCCCTATAGCAAGTACTTTGGCGACCTTGGGAAGGAAAAACTCCCATTTTTAACAGGAAGAAACCTCCACATTCTGCCTTGACTGGTCGGGGCTTAAGGGGAGGAAGACAACTTACTTTGCAGATTTTTTTTAAGTCTTCTAAGATGAATTATTTCAAATTATCATCAGGATTCAACATGAAACTGCCTGCAGCTGAATTTTAACCTCAAGCTACCCAAACAAGATGTTTTTTTTCCTCTTGTGTTATAAATGTTTTCACTCAGACTGTGTGCACAGGGCTAATCATCAACTAATCATTTTCATGTTCTGAAAAAAAATCAGTCTTCAGATTTTTTTGTAATTGTGTGTATTTAAAAAAAAAAAAAAAAGAAAGAAAGAAAAGAAAACTACTACAAAATATTTTTCAACTTTCTTCCAAATGAGTTATTAATGAATTGGCCGATCACTACAGTTTCCTTTTTAAACATTAGTGCTGTGATGAGGATTTAGAAGTGCTGGAGTTTTAGGGAGAGGCTGGTACAGGAGGAGTTTCAGTGTCTCACAGATAAATATTTAAGATCAAACAGGACGAGCAGACAGCTTTTTGGTCTGAGGCGCGGTGGTGAGTGAGTCAAGGATGAATCTGTTGCTATAAAACACATGGGCCAGCGGTCGAGTGCACCCAGCAGCTTCAAAGCTCGTAATCAAAGGCAGACGTGACTGCGGATCGTGCGGCGGTCATTCTGATTTCCATTTAAATCTCAGTGTTTGAGGGGATGAAGCTCATTCGAGTTCAGTGCTACACCCAGACTGTTGACATGTAAATACAGTTTATGTGGAAGGAAATCGGCGTGTGTGTGTGGGGCACAATCATGCATTAGCTCTCACAGTCAGGTGTTTGTAAACCTACCTGTTTCCCAGACACACCTCTGTACTGTAAGGTTGCTGAGTAATGGAAACGTGCACACGCACAGTCAGACCTTCACAAACGCACACATGCCCTGGGAACTCGAAGGATTTCTCATGGGAAGTTACAAACGTGTCTGATCACGAGGATAAACACGCACGCACTCCACCACACACACTGACTGGCTTTTGCTGCTTTTTTTTTTTTTTTTTTTTTTTTTTTCCCTGGGTTGCCAGCCCAACTCCTGGCAACCTACCCCCCGTCCCAAAAAGCAAAAAATGTCCACATTTTCTCCTCCTCCCCCCGCCCTGCTGCCTTCTTAGACTGGCTCCAGCGTGCACTGGTTTGTCATAGAACACTTACGCAGGCGTTCTGATGCAGAAGCTGACTCTGCTCTGGGGCTTAAGAGGCTCAGAGTGGAAAAAAAGACTGACAGAATCTCACAGCTGGCTGGAGTGTTGCGTTTTGTTTTTTGGGTCATTCACGTTTACTCTCTTGATCACGTAGTACTTAAATCAAAGATTTATTGATATATTCATGCTGCATGTCAAGAGGGAATAAACTGACTCAAGAACAAGGAAAGAGCCTGGAAACAAAGAGCCTATAAGATGCAAAGACTTGAATTTATTTTGTCAAATGAAAAAAGTGCAGTACATGATAGATTTTTGGAGGGGACACAACGCAGTGCTGTGATGGGTTTTGCCATTTAGTGTCCTAGGAAGTCATTTGCATTCAGTTTGTGGCTGGAGGTTGTAGCAGACTTTGGACATCTGCCCTGCCCTGCTGCCAGGTCTGGACCGCAGCATCCTCTCATCCGCATCAAGTGTTGATCTGTCCGCTGGCAGAGCAAGAAACGTCTTGGCAACTTTTGTGGAGGTTCTGTAGACTTCAAGGACAGCCGTAGCACTAACGGCATTTAAATGATCTTTAGCTGCTAAATGATTTCGCTGCAGCTCTTTGTCCTCTTACCATTGAAATGCAGTAGAATCACATTAGCGGACAAACTTAGTAATTTCTTTGATGTGTGGCAGCCATTTTTAGACCATGTATTAAAACAAAGTCCTGTTTGATCGATCACCAATAACTCAGCCTACCACCTTAGCGTTTTATTTCTGTTTATTGCCAGTGTTGAAGTAGTATTTTTGTCGTGGCAGTGTAATCTTTTGTCTTATTTGTGTGTTTTAGCCCTTGCTGTTGTGTTGTCTGTTGTTTTTTTGTTTTTGAGCTTTTTTTGTGTGTGTGTGTGTCTTTTTTTTTTTTCTTTTTTTTTCTTATATCAAAAAATCTCAATAAACATACTTAAAAAAAAAAAGAAAAAAAGAAATGCAGTAGTCATTTTGTTCTATGTAAGAGTTTTGGGGACTTCAGATTTTAAGTTTCTAACGCCTCACTCGAACATAGACAATAAAGTCATAAACGAACCATGAAGAATTCTCTTTATGAACAACAATGAAAGAAAAACGGAGAGACAGATTAAATCCACTCAATCTGAGATTCCTGAGACTGTCTGCCAAGTACAGTGATGACCTTATGTATTAGCTACTTGCACTTGCCACACTTGTTTACCCTAAATTTGATATTGAGAAATTGGGTGATTTTCATTTTCTATTCAATAGAGTCGCCCCCTGCTGGCCATGAGGAAGAATGTCCCTTTTCAGACCCACAGTCTGTATTTAGTTTTAACATATTAGCACAACAAGCAATTTAACATTTAGGTGTTAGCGTTTAGCTCTATACGCCCTTGTTTTTCTTTTTTTAGGGGGGGGGTCAGTTTTTTCCATCAGTTGGCTCTTTAACACTTTAACTGCTTTTATGCTGGACTGAGCTGACAGGATGTAAAATCATCAGATACCTTGTCTAAACGGCCTGCTGCAATGGGGGAACTAATGATGTGATCCCCTGCTGAATTTGTAAGTTTGCTCACTTACAAATTCAGCAGGGGATC